CTTCCCCTTTCGCAGTCATTTTTCAGGCCGGCAGGCAGCAATGAACATACAGGTCTTTTCTGCCAAGTTAGAGAAGATGATTTTCCTTTTTACTGCCTCTTGAAGATGAACATCAACTGTTTCTCCACTTGTGATTCAAATCCATTAATTAAAATAAATATAAAGTAAAAATCTCTCTTTCAGCCAAGAGGAAAAGGACAGATGGGGAAGCGGAGGAGGTGGAGACAGCTGATGTCTTCTTAGAGGGGGAAAAAAGGGAAAGAAAAACAAGAAGCATGAAATTGGGGGGAAAGTTAATTAAGAGAGGTAAAAGGTGTTCAGATTTAATTTACAGTTCAGAACTATTTTGGTTCTCATAATAATTGTACTACTTAAAGAGGAGGAGGAAAACCTCTCTAACATGAAAGTGGTAGGGGTGTATTAGCTTAACCCACCTCCAAAAATAGTCATACCTGGACTTTGGCAGTACTTCAGACTGAGCATGGCAAAAGCTTCTCTTCATTCATTCTCCTTCATTGCAAAAGCCACACATTCCCCCCCCCCAAACTTCCTCTGCATGAATCTAATTTTTTATTTCTTTCTCCCTTGCCTCCCATCACCTCAAACAAGACACTGGCAAGGAAGAGAAAAAAAATGAACCAGTTTTAAGTCATTTTCCATCTCAATGCCACGTGCACTGGTCTACAGAAATCACACAGCTTGAAAACAATGTGCTACTGATTACATCACACTCCACAACCTCCACCGTGTGTTGGTGCAATGTGCACACCTGAAGTCTAACCTGAACACTAAAAATTCCTGAGCATAGCATATTTAACTGCCCATACACCCAAGTGATTCTATTTCAGATAAACACACAAATCTAAATCAGAGTAGAGTGGAACAGAGTTACTTTTAAGATGGCAATGGAGGGTGCCTGGGTGGCTCAGTCAGTTAAGCATCTGCCTTTGGCTCAAGTCATGATCTCAAGGTCCTCGGATCAAGTCCCATATTCGGCTCCTTGTCCCACATTGGGCCCCTTGTTCAGCGGGAATCTGCTTCTCCCTCTGCCCTTCCCCCCTCCAGCTTGTGTGCTCACTATTTCTCACAAAAATAGATACAATCTTAACATTAAAAAAAAAAAAAAGATGGTAGTGGAGATGTAAGATGGACAGAGCTAAGAGATGGGAGACTTAAAAATAATTTAGATAAGTGAGATGAAAGAAAATACATGGTTTTGTCTGAATTGTCCTTTTAACTGTCTCTATCATCCACATGGAGCTAAAGAGATGCTGGAAGTAATCTCAGAGATCATCTATCCCTGAACCACTAAGAAATTAGGATCTAGTGAAATCAAATGATTTGCTCAAGAGCACACAACGGGTTAGAGTGAAAGCCATGCCTAGAATCAGCTCTTCTGCCTTCTAAAGTATTTCTTACAACTTGACATTTACTCATGGTAACAGATGAGAAATATGCTAACATTTTCTAAGAGCTGAAAGGAAAGCCCCAAATACAAACCCCAAATATTTCAAACATAACTAAGTATAAGTAAGTTAGTCGGAAAGTAGGAAAAATCCTTTAGCAATTTAGTTAGGATGTTCTATAGTAACATAAAAGACAGATATAGGAGTAAGGTGGCAAGAGCTGCTGGGAAAAAAGAAAGCTTCCTGCCCACCTCCAAAACAAACAACCACAAGAGTACTTGAGAATGTTAACATTTTTGTACTCTTTTGACAGGGGGCCCCACTGTGATCAGAAGAGATGGACAAAATGAATTCTGAAGGATTTGAGAAAAAGTCAGAAGGTAATCCATCTCATGAATTAAGAAAAATAAGTCCTCATAAAGAGGAGGGCCAAGGGAAAAAGGAAAAAGACAAAATGTAAGCCTATTCCCCAAGAATGAAGAAATCAGAGAACTGAGATGAAGTTAAGGGGGACTGGGTTATGGAGGGGTGTGTATGTGTGTCTGTCTGTCTGTGTCTGTGTTTGGGGGCTCTTCCAGTTCTTCTTAGTTCCTGGTTAATTAAGCAACTAAAAAAAAAATTCAACTTTACTCATGTTTCTGTGTGCTAAGCCCATTCTAAATTTAATAATTAGATATGGGCAAGAGGTGCAATTCAAGTTTTGTAGTCACCTATCACTACATTGCTGTCAATTCATAAAAAAGAAAATGTGGAGAGAACACATTTTAAGTAATAAATTGTCGAAGCAATAGTTCATCAGCAGGCCCTGTCAAATCCACCTACAAAATAGATTCCTAATCTTTACACTAGTTCTCCCATCTTTCCCCTGGAGTACTGCCTTTAATCAGGGATTCTTTGCTGTTACACTCTTCTCCCACCAATCTCTGAGAAATGTGAAAGAAATAGGTCATCCTCCTTCCCAAAGTTCTCCAAAAGCTTCTCGCTGTACTTGTAATAAAATCCACCTCCCCACCGTGGCCCTCAGCTACCCATAATCCCCTATAAAAATGGTACATAAAGCCTATAAAATATGGTCCTTGCCTACCTCCCCAAATTCATCTCCCTCCAGGAACTCTGAAAGTCACTATGTGACCTGTGTAACCCCACAGGCCTTCATTCTTGTCCCCAGTGATACCAAGCTCCTCCTCACTGCATCAAAGTCACAGTATATGATATCCTGTTTAACAACCTTAAGGTTTGGAATGCTCTGATCCCAGATCTTTCTGTAATTGACTCTTGAATATTCAGGAGCAGTTCTAATGTTATCTTCTGGTCACCTCTACTATCCAATTTAAAGTAACACACCATATGCACACACAAATATCACACCATCCTATCATCCTGTTTTGCCTTTATAAACATATGTCTATCTGAAATTACGTTGCTCACTGATTTATACCATCTAACAACCTCCATCCCAAAATACACACACACAAACACACACACATGCACACACATGCAGGTAAATTCCTTGGGAGAGCAGACATTCCTCAATGAATTCCCCAAAACTTAGAACGATGCCTGGTGCTCAGCAGATACTATTTATAGAATGACAGATTTCAAATGGTTAATTCCATCTATCCCAAACTTTTCCCAAATTTTGTGTCTGCCTTGTATTTCTAGCATGTGTTTACTATTACTTCTCTGTTCCCTTTTCTGAATTTCTTTTGATCTTCATTCTGCTTACTGCAACACAAAGCAAAACAGACTAAGGACCATCAAAAGGACATTAATGGTGATAGAAACCTACTCAGCTAATGCTATTGGCAGTGGTGCAGAAGGGCAAGTCAGGTGCTCCTGAAGGGCAAAAGCCCCCAGGATTGATCTCATCCCTTAGTGCAGCTCTAAGGACAGCATCAAAAGGAATTATGGAGGTAGCCTGTCTGTGACCTAAAAAAAAAGGACCACATGCCCTATGGACACTCAGTTGTTCTTAAAACCTTTAATGTGCAGAAGATTCCGATTCAGTAGGTGTAGACATGATCTAGGAATCTGCACTTTCAACAAATGCCCCCAGGTGATTCAGATTCAAACAGTCTTTGAAAACTTTCAGTTCTTTGGCCAAACAATAATAGCAAGGACCTGAAGGACTGTATCACCAGATAGAAGGTTTAACCAATAAAAATGACCTTTTTTTTTTAATCTCTACCTTGAAGCTCATTCTCAAGTCAAATTCTATTTCAATATTTGCTGAGCATTATTTAAATTCATTGGTGTTTACTAATTTCTAAATGGCTTTTAGCCATTTAAAAACTATCATAATAGCTACTATTATTGGACATCTACTATGTTCCATATGCTATTAACAGTTTTTTAACACATGTATCTTATTATCCCATTTCCGTTAAATAAGTACAGGTAACTATTAAGAAGTGACAGATTAAAAAATGAAATATATCTATATGTTACTTAAGTCTGTGTTCTACACAGTCTACATGTCCCACTAATTATACCTTAATAGAAGAAATAGAAGAAAACCAATAATAATAGAAGAAAACCAATAAATAAAACCAATAAATAAAAACGCAGATTTGTAAATAAAGACAGGGGATTCTTCCTCTTAATTTAACTAGTCCTCACTTTAGGAAAATATTGCATGGTGAAATATTGCATTACATGGTGAACTTTGACAGTATAAACACCTTAACAGTGGCATGGCAACTCTGAAGAACAAATACATAATCAAGAGTCCCTTCTAAAACAATCACCGTCTTAATCAAAATCACCAAATATTAAGAACGGATTCACTATTTACAGATCCAGCAGTGATTCTCAAACTGGGCTGATAATTAAGAATCACTTGGGTAGCACCTTAGGAAAAAAATTATAGGCTTCACACTGGTTCTTCTGAATCAGAATCTCTGGATTATGACCTCCAAATCTTTATTTTTGTAAAGTTTCCCAGGGATTTCTGATGAGTAACTTGGGTTCAGAAGGACTGTTACCCTAACCCCAGCATTTCACAAGTGAATAAACTGAGGACCTAAAAGGGTAAGATCTGCCTAAAGACATACAACCTATAAATAGCACAGTAGGCTGGAAAGACAACATCCTGACTCTACACTTAGTGCTTTTAACACCAATTCAAACTGCTGTTTCTTGGTGTTTTTCTTTTTTAACTGTATTTTTTTTTCTTCACTGCTTGGGCTCTGCTCATTCCTTACTATCCTTGTGCAACTTATTCCCTCACCTGTAATCTGGAAATAATAGTGCCCACCTCTTAAAAGAATTGCTATGAGGATCAAATAGTATAATATTCATTAGGTATAGAATGCCTTGCATATACTAAGCGCCCATTAGATACATTACAGGGCCCATTAAAAAGTCATGCCTTTTTCAGCTGGAGAGGATTTATAGAACCACTCCAATTACAAAATGAACAAGAAGCCCATATTCCACTTTGGAAGTCCAAAGATACTTTAAACTCAGGGTTAGGTGAAGGTCAAGAGCTTGCCCGTTTCTCGCACACCACCGTTTCTCATACGTTGCTTCAAAATCACCTAGTGAATCAATTTCCAGACCATAATCTGTATTTTTTTAAAAGCCCCTCCCTACCTCCCCTCCTAACCTGGTGCTTCTTGGGCAAACCAAGGTTTGATAACCCTTAGTATACAGTCCTTGGCCACAGCAAATGGCCTCTAGAATCCCAGCAAAACTATCGTGCTCTGTAACCGGAAGAGCAGCGTCATCACACCCTGATGCAAACAACAGCTGGGGACGGCTGTGCTGAGGAATCGTGATCACGAGGGATGGCCTCGACCCTCTCATCTCCCAAGAAACTTGGAAAATTACGAAAGTGCCGTCCAGTAATCTACGTGGCAGATAGGGCTGCCTAGGTGGCCAGGAAAACATAAAGTTAACTCAACAGCCTCCTTCCCAAGGGTAGGGCCGGAGAAAAGCGACCCTGCTGGGCGGAACAGGACCAGCGGCGCCAGAAGGTTAACGACCCTCTTGCCCTGTTCCACGCAGTAGCCAAGACCCCACCACGCCACAGGCCAGCTGCCGGAAGTGCGTCACGCCAGTATACTGGGGCTGCCGGGAGTTGTAGTCAACCGGCTATTTCTCTTGTGCCCCAATTCACTTTTTTCTAACAAGCAAACACCTTGGAACCGCGAATAAGGGAGCTTCATAAGAAACAAATTCAATCCTTCTTTTTCCAGCTGACAAAGGAAACTCAGAGCTCCTCCGTAATATCGGACTACAAGTCCCAGCATGCTCTGTAAAACGGACAGAGCGCCGGGCCACCGTCGTAGGTGTGGGCCACTTGAATGGAACGTTGGGCGTAATGCAAAGCTTTCCACGGTCCGCGCGGCTGGTACCTGCTCCTTGGGCGTGAGTGCAGCGTGTGGGTCGTGCGCGTGCGCGCTCGCCGGAGGCGCGGGGCGGTTGTGCCGGACCGTTGCGGGCGTGAGGCTGCTGAGGGGTGCCGCGCGCCCGAAAGACCGGTACTTGCGGGGCCTCTAGCTTCGCCCCGGGCTGCGGGCAGCCCTGGCGGCCGCCGGAGACCGCAAAGGGCGGAGGAAAGCAGGGGGCGGCGGGGGCCGGCCTCGGAACGCGGAGGAACAGCCGAGCATGCCCCGAGAAAACATGGCCTCCCTGATCCAACGGATCGCCCGCCAGGCGTGCCTCACCTTCCGGGGCAGCGGGGGCGGCCGCAGCGCTTCCGACCTCGGCGCAGCACCGGGCCCCGAGGCCCAGATGCCGCAGAGCTTTCCGGAGAACCTGAGCAAGCTGAAGAACCTGCTGACCCAAGTCCGCGCCGAGGACCTGAATATCGCCCCGCGTAAGGCCACGCTGCAGCCATTACCGCCCAACCTGCCGCCGGTCACCTACATGCACATCTACGAAACCGACGGCTTCAGTCTCGGCGTGTTCCTGCTCAAGAGCGGCACGTCCATCCCATTGCACGACCACCCGGGCATGCATGGCATGCTCAAAGTGCTCTATGGCACCGTTCGCATCAGCTGCATGGACAAACTGGAGGCGGGCTGCGGGCAACAGCCGCGGGCCCCGCCGCCGGAGCAGCAGTTCGAACCGCCGCTGCAGGCCCGGGAGCGGGACGCCGTGCGGCCAGGCGTGCTGCGCTCGCGGGCCGAGTACACCGAGGCCAGCGGCCCCTGTGTCCTCACTCCGCACCAGGACAACCTGCACCAGATCGACGCTGTGGACGGACCCGCCGCCTTCCTGGACATTCTGGCCCCGCCCTATGACCCCGACGATGGCCGGGACTGCCATTATTACCGGGTGCTGGAGCCCGTCAGGGACAAGGAGGCCTCCGGCTCGGCCTGTGACCTGCCCCGAGAGGTGTGGCTCCTGGAGACCCCGCAAGCCGATGACTTCTGGTGCGAGGGGGAGCCCTATCCAGGTCCCAAAGTCTTCCCTTGAAGCCGCTCGCGCCCGGCTGCTGTGGGCCGAAGACATGCCCTGTTCACATCTGGGCCTCGCTGCCCGCGACCCACCATAAGGGCTCTCTCCGTACCCCCAGGCCTGGGCGTTGGATCTACTGGAATAGGCTGTAGCCGCTTCCTCCGGAGCCGTGGGAAGCGCTGACGTCTGGGGTGCAGCCACGGGGCCGGGTTAGGGGGTGGGGAAGGCGGGTAGACTAGGTTGTTTCCTGGCTCTGTCACTGCCACCGGGGTTTTGATTTGGGGGAAAGGGGGACTATCTGAAGCGCTTCCGTCCTAAAGCCATAATGAAAATATTCTTTTCTCTGTTCCTTATCCTATACAAAATACACTAAATGCCCCCACCCCCTTTACCAGGGTAAATAGGGTTTGTTTTCCACTTATGTCCTATGCCCTTTTACTTATTGTTATAGTTTTAACTTATTGACTGCATGACCCAGTGGTTTGAATTGTTTTTAGTTCAAGTCATTGGTAAAAACTAGGCTTAAAAAGATGAGCTACTACTTAAGATGAGCTATCCTGCCTAATTCATTCGTTGTGGAATAGATCTTTTTTCCAGAGTTGGGGCATCACCCCAATAACATAACTATGCATGTAGAGGACAAGATTTAATTTCTTTCCTCCTCTTGCCCAGTAGCCACATCTGGTTTACTCTGGCAGCATCTACTAAGAAATTCAGCACCTGCATATCTCAGTGACAAATGGTCACTTACAGCTTCTCTTCCCCCATGAGTCTCCAGATCTGTGAGTTGAACAGATTGCTTGTTGCAGATTGACCTTTAATGCAAAAATTATATTATCCTCAAATGACTTTTTTTTTTTTTTTTTTTTTGGTCTTTGTGTGCTTTAAGAAGTTAGGGTAATTCCATGTTTTCTAAGGAGAAGATTCAAAGGAACTAAATCAGCATGCTTCCAAACAACCGAATGTAAAACACTCCTAGCCAGCTGTTGAAGTCCATGCCCCTATTTACTTCCAGTATTTTCCTGCAAAAATAGAGAAAGATGTTGATGACTGTTTGAGATTCTCTCAGGAGCTCTAGTGTTCCAGAAGGCTGGTGGTTCCAGCTGTATTGTTTTGGTGGCAGTGTTCTCAAAACCCCTCAGAACAGTAGAGAGCCAGTGTTTGCTTCATCCAGTGTAGTTTTCTATAGGAAGAGAGAAGGCACAGATGATCAAGGCTACAGAATAGAGAATTACCTATACTGCTGGCCATTTTAGAGCACCAAAACTTGGGACAAAGTACTTCCTAACCTCTTAAATAATTGTGCTATCTGTAACTAGTTTTATTTTTGTCCTTTTAGGAAGCTCAGCAACTTTACCTTGTTTACAAATGTATTTACACTATTTGCTTCAGGCTATGGAGCACCATTGTTTCCCTCTTTTTACTATTTATAGGATTCCTTTTTCACAACACTTTTAATAAAAACAAACTGTAGAAATAAACACGTTAAAATCTGCCCAGCTGTTGTCTAAGCCCTCTTGATTGACTTGCCCAAATGGCAATCCAGTTCTAAGGTCTGTAATAAAGGGAGATTTGCTATTGGTGGAAAGTGTCCCTGTAGAAAAAACAGTATGTGCCCTTGACTCTTTGTGCACACTGGGTTACTAATGGCCCAGAGTGAAGGAATATTTGTTCCCAGTTTTTTAGCTAGAAAAACAAATTCTTGATTTTTTTTTTTTTTTAAACAAAAAAGATGCTTATTCAATGCGAAATGTCACTCTGTTGTAAAACCTGAGACAGGCATAATGCCAGGCATTTCTTCCAGGATTGCTAACATTGTTGGTAGCTTCACATTCTGGTGTGGTTTAATCTGCCTTGGAGGCAGTTTAAAGCACTTTTTAATGCCATTCAGTTTAAAAATAATCCTAGATATGCAAATGATTATCTTCTTAAAAAAAATGTTCACAAATTGGGTTTTTAATAGCACAGTAATGAAGGTGTATGGTTACCAATCACATAACCTCCCCATTCTGAATTATAGCCAAAATTTGATTAACTTATAAAGCTTGTTGATAGTGATATATATGCTATATAATACAACCTGGTGTACATTAAACCAACAAGAACTCATCCTTCCAGTAGGACAGTAATAAAGGAGGACTTGTTTTTCCAAACTTTAAAGTTCTCAGATACAAGTTGAATTAAAAAAAAAAAAAAAAAGAAAAAACAACTAAGGTGCTTTTCAAAAGAATAACTGAAATTCTTGCAGGTCAGAATAGCAATATGAGATCTAATTTATTTCAATAACAGTGAAACTTCTAGTTCATTAATAAATTCTGAGGAAATTAGTGGTGAAAACTGAACTTGGTTCAGTGAGCCACTAAGGAAAGAATATTCTTAATGCAAATAGGAAATGTGGTGCAGCAAAGCTGGTACCTCTGCATAAATTGTTGGTCATGACTGACTTGATGTGCTGCTGTTGTATTTCCATATATTCCTGCAATATATAGGCTATATTTTAGTAACAGCTGTGAGAAAAATTTGTCTTCCTCTACACAGACTAATGAGCACAATGATACTAATCACTTTTCTGTTGAATAACAAATGCAATAATTGCCTCATGAATGAGATGTCTGTCTCAATACTTCTAAAGCTTTTGTATTCTCTGGTTATATCAAAAGCCAGTTATATTAATGGAGACTATTGTGTACCTACCTATTTTATGAGAATTGATTTTTTACAAAGCTTGATTTGCATGGGTTGAGTTTACACTAACTGCTGTTTATTAATGAAAATCAGGGTCCCGTATACTTGTCAACAGGAGTGGGTTCTCTGAACTTTTTAAGACTAATAGTCCCTAAATTCTTCCAAAATCCACACCTTTTATTCCCCCTTTTGCATTGTCCCCTCGTAGGTGCCTCAGCCTTGGCATCTGAAGAAGGCTGTTACTGCTCGTCTAATCCCAATGATTGTATCTTGTGCCCTAGCTGCACTGCTCAGCAAAAAAGCAGTATGTCTGTAATTCAGGATTCAGACCACTCCCATTCAATTCTAAACTGAGGGCAGTGCCACTTCTGTAACCCTCCTAGTCTGAATTCTGAACTCCAAGTTAGAAACAAGTCAACTACTGATGATTTCAGTGTAATGAAGCATCTACTGTCAAGGAAATCGTTTGTTAAGCCCTATATACAACATACTGAATTTTCGGATCCAGAGATGTTTATATTTCTGGATTAAAATCAGTGTACTTATGGAAAATAAAGGCATGTTTGAAGTTGTTTAGATTATTTGATTATTGCAAAATGCAGAAGAAAAATACTATGATGTCTACATTTTAATTACTGTTAAAGATTTAGTCTATACAGTAGGATTATATTGTACTGAAAACAGGTGGCTTTCTGCAGATTCTAAAACCCAAGTAATAATATCAACTTAGTCTATTTCCTGGAGAGTGAGCTTTGAAACTATGATTGAAAACGTATCTGAAGCTGTCTAATCATGTTATTTTGCTACAACAGAAAATAGTCCTTTTATATTTAAGCTAAGGGAAATAAACTAGTGCCAGAAAACAAAAATACTTTTATCCATGAAGGAAAGAAACTGTGGACTTAAATTTATTTCTTATCTTTACTTTTTCTGTAAAGTTTAATTGCCGTTTGGATTGGCAGCATCTTAAGTAATTGATGCTGACCATTCATTCCCACCAAATACATATACATAGACACGTGTGTGTGTGTGTGTGTGTGTGTGTGTGTGTGTGTGTAGAACAGTTAAAATATCCCTACAGCCACTTTTAATATATATCAAGCAGCTTGGCTTAATTAGTGGTTGGTATTTAAATACAATGATTTATGAATAATTGAAGACCTGATTTAGGTTTAATAGACCTATTTTTGATATGCAGTGAACCAGAGCAAATGCATTACAATCTTTAAGCAATTATTCTCCAGAAGTTTGTGTGTGTGGTTTTTTTTTTAAGATTTTATTAATTTGAGAGAGAGCATGAGCAGGTGAGAAGCAGCCACCCAGGCACCCCAAGAAGTTTATTTTTAATAAGAATGCCCAGTAACAGCTCTACTATCAGAAATATTCAATAAAGCATATCGAATTTACGAAGGAGCAGGCTGAGCTTTATATGCTTTATTTCTTGAGCAAAGTAAAAAATGAGACACCTGTATGACAATACCCTCAATGTTTCAACATTGGTTTTAGATTAAAAATTGATCTGACATGTTAAAATCAAGTAAAAGTGACCAAGTTGTCTGAAAAAACACCAAGATGTGTTCCTTATGGTATGTTATACCACTTCAAGCCCACATCAAGGTGAAAATGATTAACGAATTTGACAATCATCAAAATAATCTTACTCTTTTAAAAATTACTTCTGCGGGGTGCTTGGGTGGCTCAGTGGGTTAAAGCCTCTGCCTTCAGCTCAGGTCATGGTCCCAGGGTCCTGGGATCAAGCCCGCATGGGGCTCTCTGCTCAGCGGGGAGCCCCCTTCCTCCTCTCTCTCTGCCTGCTTCTCTGCCTACTTGTAATCTCTGTCAAATAAATAAATAAAATCTTAAAAAAAAAAAAATGACTTCTGGGACACCTGGGTGGCTCAGTCAGTTAAGTGTCTGCCTTCAGCTCAGGTCATGATCCCTGGGCTGGGTCCTGGGTCCCAGAATTGAGCCCCGCATCAAGCTTTCTGCTCATTGGGAAGCCTGCTTCTCCCTCTCCCTCTGCCTGACACTCTGCCTACATGTGATCTCTTCTCTCTCAAAAATAAATACATAAGATTTAAAAGAAAAAAGAACACAACTTTTTTTGTCCTGCTTTATAAAAAGTTGAAGTTTTGGTAGTAAGGAAGTATTCATTAAAAACATAATTATCAAAATGTGGCATTGTTTTATACATATTTTAACAAAATTAGCCAAACAAGAATGATAATATGCTGATAAACTAGGAAATATAAATCTAATGGAGTAACACCAGTTACCAGAACAATCTGGCACTGCAGTTTAGAAATTTCATAGTTACAGAAAGAGGTATTCTGCATCTTTGAAATACGGAAGGAGAGGAAATAAAAGGATTAATTACTTCCACAAGTTAGATCTCAAAATTCCAGTGTTCTGTAGGTCAAAAAGTAGGTATCACTGTCTGCTGTTCTAAAATAAAGGCCTTCAATTATCAACCACGTATGAAGGGGGCTGACAGGGGCAAAGAACAAACAGATGGCAGTTTTCAGATGATCTAGCTGAACAGTGGGTATTCCAACAGGTTACATGTGTGTGAGGATCCAGAAGCTGCGGGTGAACTTAAATG